AGTGCATCGGTAAGCTGGATGCCAGGCTCTCCGTGCCTCTGTTGGGTTAGAAATACAACCTGCAACAACAACAACAAAAAAAGTAAAAGAGAAACAACTCTGCAAAGAAGTGTTCAATACTTTGTGTGAGCAAATAGTGTGAGCCATCAGCCTACACTGCAGCACAAGCGTTACTTTGCACGGATACACACTTGTCTGTCCTGCCACATTGCCACCGGTGGGTGACTGCATTGACATCAGCATCTGTTCTTTCTTTTTCCGCCTTTGTTAAAGTGAAATTGTGCCAGTTTCAGGAACAGCAAGAGTGACAAGAGTATAACGACATGCCTGAACTGCAGAATGGGTAGCAGAGGTCTTTCATAGCTATCTCTTGCACAGTTTGAAGATTTTGCTTTAATAATATTGCACACACACACACGCGCGCACATGTACGTGTAGTTTCTTGTCATTCTTGCGTACTTGTGTGCAATAACACCCAGTTCTACTGCCTCAGTTCTTATTACACAGCCACTGTAGCTGTATCTTCAGATCTTATTCTAATTTGCGTGCAGATTTGATCAATATTACCAAACGATTTCTATCTGACTGGTGTATCAGGTCCCACCTCCAGTACCCTGAAGCAATGACCAGCTGGCAAAGAATTGCTAATGTTGGTCTTGAGTCGTATTTCTAGATGATAGCAAGGAAACTGCACGGAGGGGAACAGCTGCAGGGGGCAGGGATACATAAAGAGGTGCACCCGAGAAACAATATCACTGAGCTTGCCAGAGAGCAGGACTTAGGGCAATTTTTTCCACTCTACTTTGGAGCAGTTGTACATTCACTGTTTGGCTTGGTTTGATGAGTCTTCTCCCAACAGATGTGTAATTTGGAGCCAATGCTTCCCTGTTTTTCCACAGTAATGACACATCTTAGCCATAGCTGGGTATAAACACCTAGATTATCAATGTCGTTTTGATTCAGCAAGATTTCCACTGTTGCCAGTAAATCCCCCAAACTGGGCTGTTTATATATGTGCAGTTACATTTCTAGCAGCTTCCGCAGGCCTAGTTCTGACTGCTGTGTAAACAAGGGCTTAAATTACGACAGGATCACCAGCCGTGGACCCTCTTCCAAAGCCCTCATGCTCCCTCCAACAGTCAAAGGACAGCGCAGAGAAGTGATGCACAATAAACTTCAGCCACTGGCAAGAGGAAGGCTCCTAACCTCTGGCTGTTTTTTCTGGATAATATGGCCTCTTTAAGAGAGTAAAAACAAAATGGTACAGATATTTAGTATAAGATGACAGTGGTGTAACAGGACTTCCCCCTTGCACTGAGGAATTGTCTCAGTTTTTTCAGGCTCTCAATGCACTTCGAGCATAAACTTTTTTTTTTCCCTCTCTTTCTTGCCTTCTGCAAATGTGTTGCTGACTGTGTCATGATTCATGCATGTCTTTGGCTATTTTAAAATCTTATTTCCACTGGTATTACTGCTTCCCCAGGGGCATGCAGTAATCACGTACTATTTTTAAACTCTGCAGTCAACCAGGACTTCCTTTTTATCTGTCCACTCTGTAGCTGCCATAGGGAGTGAGCATGGCATTCCTCATCTTTTTGTGGTTTCTACTTATAAGGAATAGGCAGGACAAGTAGTGATTCTTGTTGGTGCTGGAGTACTACACAAGTTAGATTACAGGATGAAGCACAGATTGAATCACGTCTCAGAAATTCACCCTCCAGTGTCACATTGTACCCGAGTTAATGCAGACCAGAACTCACACTACACAAGCACAAGTACAAAGCTCTCAGTTTGTTCCCAAAGCTCCCACAGCTTTTTCCATGCCAGCTATATATACATATATATATACAAGAAGCTAATAATACGACACATTCCTGTGTTTGTTTGCAGAACCGTATGTGGGCAATTTCTTGAGTCATTTAATTACAAGAAAGATGAGGCCTGAACAAAGAAATATACTCAAGGTTTGCTTGGTTATTGAGAGCAGTTCTTGTCTTCCTTTCCCCCAAAATGAAAAGGTCTCAAGATGTTTGAATTGCAGCTAGAAGGAATAGAGACATCAGATGCCATGCCAAACCTGGACACTGATGCAGCTGTGAGACTGCTGGTACCTGCTCCTTTTGCCTGAAAACTATTTTCTTTGGTGGTAGTACACTGCTGGGCCCATGAAGCCAGTACATCTTTCTGCTTAGCCACCAAGGATCAGCAGGATCCAGCTGGTTACTGCCCATCGTGCATTAATAAGCATTTAATTGTGACGGGTTGTGGAAAATACTGGGAGAACCTCAAACCCGTAGCTTTGATTACACTGTAACACGCACCAGCTACACTCCCACAAAGTGCTATGATGTGGGGAAGAAACCAATCAGCCCATCATCCTGTGAAGACCAAGGGACTATGACTTACACACCAAAGCACAGAAAACAGCTAAAGATCTGTGTCCGGGTACAGGGCACTGTCATAAATTCCTGCAGCCTCTCAGCTATCTTTTTGCTGGAGCATTTCAAGAGAAACAAGGTGAGTAGAGCCACTTCAGGAGCTAATAAGCAAAAACATCAGGAATAACAATCATAGTTCTGAAATATTGATATTTGTTGCAATTACCTACTGACAATATTCAAACAAGGAATGCTATGCCACCAAAAGCAGAGCTGTGTCAGAATGCTCTGTCATTGTTTTACTGAGTGTTTTAGCTTTTCTTTTTTGTACAACATCCTGTTATCTCTTAATTTACAGGTACTTTGCTTAAGCTGTTGTACAGGACACGATGTACCAAGACAGGGTTGCTGAGGACAGCCACCTTGAGTATGTGTTTTAAAGATCTGAGTAATATAAAAATTAAAAAGAAAGCATCGGGCCTGGGTTTTTTTACACATGTACTAGTGCTATTCTTTCCATTTCACTATATCCCATTCCTACTGTCTCAGTCAAAGAAGCGGTCTTGAGTCTAAATTTCACAGTTTATTGCCAACTAACATAAACTTTAAATTATCAATTCTGGTATTGAGAAATAAAGATAAGTGTCCTGGTTTTTGCTGGGATAGAGTTAATTTAAGTTAAACAAAGACTTGGGGGAAATATATCAGCTTCCCCCTAGACACCTCTCCTGCCCCCTTCCTCGTCTCCCATCCCTTCAGTGCCTTCGAGAACGCTGTGGATAGTGCAGGAGATTGGGGTCAGCTGCTGAGGTTTCTCTTCTGCTGGTCCTTGTTTTTTGCTGCACTGATCTGGTGTGGCCTTCTCCACCAGTCATATTCCCTCTACAATCATACCTTCTCCGGTGTCTTCTGTGTGCCTGCCCCTGCTCAGAGGGTTTCTTTGCTCCAACACTTGCTGGTGGCATCTCTTTTCTCAATCCCTGCTCGGGCTGTGGGCCAGTACAGGGTGATCTGTGACCTCCTCCTCCCAGGTCACTCCTGCAGTCCTCAGCTATCAAGACTCTGCCAATTACACCCAATGCACCTGCTCACTTTTCTGTAGGACTTTCTGTCACATATCTCAGAGTCACCAAAGCACTTTGCACACATGAGTTACCTAGGGGCACAATGGATCTTTTTTAAAGTGGCTTAAAAGGTCGTTGGTACGTAAGGATAGCATAAGAGAAAGCGAGTGAATGAGTGGCATCCATTACTTCCCAGATCCACCCAACTGCTATGTTATCTGGGGCTAGGGCAGCAAGGAGAACATTTGTGAGTGCTATGGGGCAAAGAGCAACGTGCTCTGAGCAATCAAGTTGTGCCTTGAGTACCCATGTCATGGCTCATGATGAGGGCTTGCAGGACTGGAATAGCACAGCTAAGTAATTCTCCATAATGTCAGGGGAAACTGTCCCAGAGGTCCTGTTTCAGTTATCCCTAAAAGCTCAACAATGCTAAATCCAGGAGACTGAAAGCTCTCAGCAGGGGAGGCAGCCTCAGTGGGCTGAGAGCAAATCACACAACCAAGGAGCCCCCCACAGCCCTCTGCTGCCCAGCCGTGTGTCTTGGAGGGGTGCCTACACTGGGCACCCCAAAACTGGCCACACAGCAACAGATCCAGCAGCAGGGACAAGAGACGTGCTAGTTCTAACAGCCTGCTGAAATGCCAGGGAAGAAGAACACGAGCACTTGTGATTTCAGATCTCATCCACACTAGACTAGAGATCTCATAAGCAACCACAGCATTGGGGCTGGGAGGCAGAGGGGAAAGGAGAGAGGAGTTGGGGAAAGGATTTGGCTAAAGGCAGAGCTTGCAAATTGCCCTACTGAGTACAGAGGACCTGCTATGGTCTGCATAGGCTTTCCCTCCCTCCCGATCTCCCTCACCACAGCTCTTTATTTGCTTTCCTCAAGTGCACAACCTCTTTCCCAGCTGCCAGCATCCTGAAACCTGGGGAAACAGTAATGAGTGACCATGCCAAGTGCTGAGAACAAGTGAGAAGGTTTAACATGGGGGAAGGGGAAAGCAAAAAGAAGGAACTGGTGTTATTGTGGTACCCCTTCCCTCTCCACAGTGTGGTACATCTTGCAGCCTATGCCCTCTAAGAGTGATCTTCAGGGTGTGGTCAGGTACCACTTCTGGACTGTCTGCCACCAGAAACCATCAAACGTAACCCAGCATAGCTACAAAAAAACATGTACACGCTCCTCCCCTAGCCAAAAATCACAGCAAAAAGTATAGCGTGTTGGGAGGGGAAAATAAAAATAATGATTATTCAGAGACTAACCTACTGTTCACTTGATTGACAATGCAAAGCAGTGTGATGGCAGTGAACTAGCTGGCCCATAGAATTTCCTCCACTAGGCTAGCTTGTGTTTGGATTTAACCCCACCGCACAGCAATCAAAGTGTGGTCAGACAGGGAACCTGCAACCACCCTCGGGAGTCATCCAGTGCCCATCTCGTACATTCTCACCCTGTCGGATTTGAGGTGCACAGACACAGAAGGCTGGTTGCATGAGATGTTTATTTGCCTCGCAAATAAAAGTCCTCAGGGAAAAGTCCTGGTTTCCTTAAGCAGTTTCAGTTCTTGTGAGTCTGGTCGTATGTGCCAGCTCCCTTGTAGGCTCCAACGTAGCCGCTGGTGTCCTCCCGATTCTGACGGCCCAC